TCCAGGTACTGACCAGGCTCACACCTGCTTAGCTTCAGTGGGTTGCCAGTTGTGAGTTGCAGGGTGATATGGCTGCTGGCCATAACTAGAAACTTTATTACTAGAAACGACTGCTACTCTACTGCTGATGTCAATATATCGAGTAAATGATGTTAACCGACATCTGTGCATAAGAGGGACATCTGTGCATTGGCAGAAATCAACTATGCCAATACTCAGATCTTCTGAGATTGTTCAAAAGGTTGTTCACCACCACAAAGCTATTGCACCCTGTATTCTAACTTGAATGTAATAACTACCATCTCTACTGAGAAGCTTTAACATGAAAAATGCTATTAATTCCAAAAGTCAACTGTTGCATTTAGTGCCTCAGTATAGATGCAGAAATGGGAATAAATTATTTATTATTATAATATATTTACTAAATGGTCTTTAATAAATCAATTTGGAATTCACAGAGCACTATAAGAGTTCTTACCTTTTCTGTGCCACGCTTCTTATCTCTTGGACGATTTAGTTTTGCTTGTCGGTCCACCAAAATCTTTTGCCAATACCTTTGCTCACGATCACCTTTACAAAAAACCCAACAGATCGGATGTGACTGAACAGATCAAATGATGCCAACAGATGATTTTCTGTTGTCAGTGAAAAGTTCCTTAGTGGAACTGTCATACTGGATTTTGCCATAGGTCCACTAGCTGGACAATAATATTAGGCGTTGCTTATGATCAAAACATGTCTAAATCTCTTACAAACTGAGCACTAGGATGTGGAAAAAGGTAAGAAATTGAAATAAATCAAGAAAAAGATGAGTTACTACACTGAAGGAAAGCTAGCTTTAAACAAAACTGCACTAAGTTGTGGGACTCTTCAAAAACAAAAGAAAAACACATTAAAGATTTTTTTCTAGGGATGCAGCAGTAAAAACGTTACAGCAAAAACGAACAATAAGACTTCAGAGACCTCGGTGTGTCCATAATCTATGGCTGTATAACCCATTTCCTGGGCTTGTGTTCTGCCGTACCAGAGAGAATCTCCAGTTTCCAGTTGTGCTTCTTCTGGATCGCTGACTGAGCTGCTATCACAGCCTTGGCGTCTTCTGGAGTCTTAAATCGTACATGACCCTCCGCATCGCCCTCCAGGGTATCCACATATACCACCGCCGAGATCTCTGATAGAGCATCCTTCACAAAAGGCAAACAGTTTCCACGTTAAAATACAGAAATCTAGACAGACCCATTTTTTGAGGAATCTGAATCAAAGGGGAAATCTGCAAATCTAGTGCCATGGAAATTTCTTCCTTGGCACATGAAGATGTCATAGCTGACCATGCCTTTCAGCAGATTTCATGTGCCAAAGCAAAAACAAATCAAGCTGCAGAACACTTATTCTCTTTTTTGTAGTGACCACAGACGTTTTGGTAGAAGATACAATAACGTTATAAAAACTAGCATATAAGCATACACTCTCTGCTCACAGTAATGGGCTCAATTTCATGAGGGAGTCCCCATTTTTTAATAAAAAAAATTACCTTAATACATTTCCTTCCCGGCAGAGGTTCACTGTGCGTGATTTTGACAATGACTCCACTCACAAACTGGGGACCAAGGGGAGAATCTTTCTTTGAACCCGGATTGTCCTTGCTGTTTTTGTCTTTAAAGTGAACAAACACATGAACATATACATTTAAAGTTTTTGGAGGTAACAAACATCACACCTACACCTGCAAAATCACTCCATAATTAGGTGATTTTTTTACCACGATTCCCAACCATCTTGACAGATATTGAGCAGGTTTGAATGGCTATGAAGCCCACCATTCTGGAGTGCAAAGTTGGCTGTGCCTTATCCAAGGTACCACGCTTGTACCACGTTTTGACTCAGGAGGGTGAATACTTATGCAAACTTATTTTTGTTTTTCAAGCAGTTATATTGCTCACATTTAACGTCTATCACACATAATTATGATCAGCTTGAGTATCTGTGTTTTGATTTAAAATAGTCACTTTTAAAAAGCATGTATACATCTTTGTAATTAAGTGTGACATACTGGAAGGGCGCAGATACTTCAGCAAGGCACTATATACCGAACTGCGCCACAGTTTATATCACAAAAGTGAGACACAACTTGATTTGCAATCAATTTAATCTAAGCTAAAGAAAACCAAGTTAGCCACATCCTCACCCAACTACAACAGAACCCCCTAAAATTACTGCATTTCCTAAATGTATCAGCAATGCTGTAAAAGGAAGTAGAAGTTTTTATTTAAATATTGCAGTTTTAAATGAAACCAGAAGCCTTTCATCTAATCCAATTACTGTTTGCAGGCTGAGCAAAACATTTTGCAGCTTGCCATTTCATTAAAACTTAGTTTCCCTTCTTTACAGGCTGTCTCCGCCTGGCTTAACTCAATTTCATGGTGTCTCCACCTTGTGTATATTCACAATTTTCACTAACTCTACTGAATACCACAGATGGCTACAACTTGACTTACCGCCATCCTGTTTACTGTGACTTGACTCGACATCCATGTCACCATCAGCCTTCTCTTTAATTTGATTCATTAACTTCTTCAAAGAGGCCATGCTACTTTTCTGCAGTGTTATATACTCTTGTTTTAGCTCTAACCAGTCTTCCCTAGGAAAAGTAAAACCAAGATAGAAAAGTGATAGTACACAGCTCAATACATTAGAATCTAACCTTTGAGTTCCAGACGCTTTTAAACAGATCTGTCATAATGAAGAACTGTCATTATGTGGGATAAACATCGCTCAATAACACAACCTTTATATCTGTAGCCATTTAAAGCTGATGTAATGGTGAAATATGAACATTCAGTTTCACTAGGGGTAATGTTTCATAGCTAACACAGGTGTTTACATTAAATAGAGGATGTGAGCTGAAATTTGATAACACTGGAATCATTTTGGAAGCTGATTTGATTGAGCATTAGGAAAAGAAATACAGGTATTTTCTAATTTGCTAAATAGGAGATGCACTGCACAAAATACCGTAAGCATGTATCGATTATTTTTTCTATACCCTACCACTTTAGAACAGTCAGTTGTGCATTTACCACATCCTGCAGTTTACGAACATCACAGCTGCACACGGGGGAGCAGGGAGGAAGAGAGGAAGCAAGCGCCCAGGAGGCTGCAGGGGTCCAAGTATCACCGAGAGCCCAGAGCTCCCTGGCTACCCTACTCTCAGCAGTGCTTAGCCAATTGTGTTACACGGGTCACATGGCTCAGTCTGTGCTCAGAAGAGTGCCTTTACCAGTTGAGCCACTCGAGAGGCCCCAAATATATTTTTTTTTCTTGAAATTGTTTTTGCCGACATACTTTGAAAGTACTCGGAGAGGAATGACTTCTTCACCCATCTTGTGTCTCTCCTTATGCTTCTTCTTCCTCTTCCTCTTGGCCTTCAGCAGGGAATCGTCCTTCTTCTCCCCCTTCTCAGTCTCTGCAGACAGATCTGCAAAAAGGACATTATCATATTCTTGATTCTTCAGTTCATTGTCTAAAGCTGCAAGGAAAAGCAATTTTAGCATTACCTGACTAATCAGCTGATTGACCAAGGACGGAGGAAATTTAGAACAAGCTATACAGCCGTTGCTGTTGAAGCTGATGCCCAGGCTAGATGAGACACTCAGATAAATTTCCTACGGCAACCAAACAATCTAGATGGTCCAAATGGTCTCTTCATATCTGGAACCTTTGTTGTCAAAGTATTCTAACCATGCAATTAATATGTTCTAATCTATTACTTCTCATTTATTCTTTTCAACTGTACTACAATTATACCAGCCAAATCGCCCTTTACGCTTATAAGGAAAAAAGAAAAGATTTTTTCATGCTGAAAAAAAGCGTGAATGAAAGAAATTCATTTCTCCAGGATTCAAGATCTGAGATTTTTTTACTAGCAAACTTGGGTTTCCAGGAAGGTTACGTTTTGTCAGGGTTGGTAACTCAAAAAGGGTGACATTTCTTCAACTAAAAAATGTCATTCCTACAATAAAGAAATTAGCCAGTCAGCTATGTTTATTTTGAAACTGGCCCAAACTGTTTCTACAGCCACCTCTAGGTGTTCTTTCAGCAGCTGGTCAGCAGGATTTGGTAGGACTTTGGTGCACCTCTCTAATGTCTAGGAGAGGAAAACTAATCACAGTCATGAAACGCAGTGTGTACCACTCCAGCTTTGAAAATGAATTCTCCTTACCTTTCATATCTTTGTCCGCAATTTCAGGCTCTGTTTTCACTTGGGAAGCCTCTTCTACCTCGCAAACCTTTCTGATTTTGCAGGGCATTTCATCCAGGTTGTCTAGCCCTGAGGCTTCTGCGTTGTGGGATCGGCGCCTTTTCTTCTCTCTTTTACCCAAGGTTTTCTGCACCTCAGCACCGTCCACCTCAGATTCAGATGCCACTTGATACTTTTTCTTCTTATCGGAGGTTTTCTGGACCTC